GTGCTGGGGGATCCCTCCGATGGGGAGGGGGGGTCGATCCCTGCAGGGGCCTCCTGGGGGGGATCCTGTCCTGCGGGGACCCCCATGGGGAGAGCGGTTCTGCCCCCTCCACGCCCCTGCCTTGCCCTGAGGGGTCTCTGGGGGTCCGGCGGCAGCAGCTGGCACCGACCCACGCGGGCAGAGTCCCACGCGGGTGTCCCGTGTCACCCCCGCTGTCCCCCGCACTGACCACTCTGCTGCCCCCTCCCCAGGCATCTACGTGTGTGCCAAGTGTGGCCATGAGCTGTTCTCCAGCCGGGCCAAGTACGAGCACTCCTCGCCCTGGCCGGCCTTCACCGAGACCCTGCGCGGGGACAGCGTGGCCAAGCGGGAGGAGCGCCCGGGGGCTCTCAAGGTGCCCGTCCCCAAACCCTCGCGATGCAGCGACAAAACAGCCGCGGGCTCGTCCCCCGTGAGCCCGGGCTGAGAGAGCCCGACTGCTGCCAACCCTCTCCTTTGCTCTTCCAGGTCACTTGTGGCAAGTGCGGCAACGGGCTGGGCCACGAATTCCTCAATGATGGGCCCAAGCGGGGCCAGTCCCGCTTCTGAATATTCAGCAGCTCGCTGAAGTTCCTCCCAAAAGGTACCAGCGGTGGCTTGGCAGCTGCTCCAGCCCGTGCAGTGATTTTTGGGGAGCTGCTGATAGCCCGGGCAGGGTGTGCACTGCACTGCTTTCGGCAGGGCGGCTCTGGCTGTGCTGATAAGCCAAGGAGCTGCTTAGGAGCCCTGAATCAATCTCAGGCTGCTCAGCTGGAGGCTCCCCGGCCTCTCCCTGGAGGAGCTGGGTGTGACTGGAGCTCCTGGATGTGACCACGGGTCTCTGTGGGTCCGAGGGGCAGCTGAGTGTTGGGGGGTTTCTGCTGGGGGAGCAAAGTGAGGGCAGGGAGCTCCTGTGGTGGGGCTGGGGGGGTTTGCTGTCACTTCTTAGGAAAAGTTATAGAATCCTGGAATGGTGAGGATTGCAAAGGAGCTGAAAGTTCATCTCTTTCCAACCCCCTGCCACAGGCAGGG